CCATATTTTCGCCCCGCCCCGCCCCTCTCCTCTCTTCCCCTCTTGGGGACCCACCAGTTAGCTGGAGGATGGGTGCGAGAGCTGGGGGACAGTTCGAGAGTGCTGTACTGCCTCTCCTTGGCTCCCTCCTTTACTCCCTCCCTAGGAGCTTCGCCTGCGACCTTTCCGGCGCTGCACCCTGTCCCCCTGCACGGTGGCCAGTCCTCAATACCCAGCTGCACCAGACAGCTCAGAGAAAGCCTTATCTGCCTTTTGTAGAGCACGGAAGGCTTTCAGGAGGTGGTGGCCATTGCGCTGGGCCTGCGGGGGGGGGCGGTCAACAGGAGTTGGCCAGCGAAAAGAAGCCCTTCCCTCCTACCCAGAGGTCAGCTGCGGTGGAGAAGAGGCTGGAAAGGGAGACCTTGAATATCACGGTCAGCAATTGAGACAGCACCCCCAGAATAATGGGAGGGGGATGTGGGAGCTTATGGATTCAAGGGGAGGTGAGGAACGCCAGAAGTTTTAGTACATCCAGGAGAGGGATGCTGCTGGGAGGGGACCCAGGGGAAGGTGTTGGATTGCACAAGAGGCTAGATTCTAAAACACAGAGGAGGTAAAGATTTTGCAGCTTGGTGAGTGAGTAGAAGTGAGGAGGGGATTACTCAGGAAGTAGGTCTCCCAGGAAGTAGGTCTCCCTGAGATGAACAGTTCCCTGCTGAGAGAAAAGCTAAGGAGGAGGAGAGAAAGGTGACAGAGAAGGGTCTGGATTTTCCCCTGGCTCTAGGCCTGCTACTCCCTGAAAGTCAGAACAGTAGTGGACGCCAAGGACCTGCTCTGCATGATCATTCCCACTGACTCAGAGTCCTGACTGCTGGAGAGGTCAGGATCTGAGTGGAAATCTTGGGTGGAAATGATAGATTCTAGGGAGCCAGTCCAAGCCATCCTCAAGGGGGCTTCTCAGAGACAACCTCAAAGGGGGACATTGACTCAGCAGGAGACAGACACCACCCAAATAGGCTCAAACTGCAGAGTAGGGAAACTCAGGACTTTACCTCTGTGTTCCTCAAAGGAAAACCTCACCAGGGGCTGGCCTTCAGTTGCCACAAGAAAGAACCTGCAGAGCTGATCAGGCCATACTACCCAGCACATCTCATGTCCCACCCCCCATTCCTGGTCCCAGTGAGACCACCACCCTGCCATGACCTCCCAGGGCTGCACAGCTCCCTAGCAGCAGCAGGAGCCAGAGCCAAACTCCTCAAGCCAAGATCTCCCCACACCTTGTCCTCAGCCCTGCCAGGGAGAGAAATGTTTGGTAACCCTCTCAGCACCATTTGCTGACATCCACAGGGCTACTGCCACCCTCCCCAGGCAGGCATCATGACAGAGCCATTTCTGGTTGTTTTGTGCCAGCTGCAATGGTCCAGAACCAGGCACATCCAAAGGCTATGAAAACTGCCCACCATGCCAAGGGCAGAAGAGATATAAGCATGGAGCAAAGGTTTGTGCTGGATTCCAGACATACTGCCTCTGGGCCAAGTCCATAAAGGCACAGTGACCGCCCCTGATGGGCCAGCAGCTGGTTCTTTTGATAAAAATCCAAGGCAGCTTATGTGGGCTAGGGGACAAGTGACAGAAGCTGGGCTTCTCTGAAGTACCTGCCTCAGCAAGAGAGTGTTCCCAAAGACCATTCTAGGACAATAGTTCTCAAAGGGGCAATGATGCCCCTCCCCCAGGGGCCATTTGACACTGTCTGGGAATATCTTTGGTTTTCACAAAATGGCAACTAGGGGTATGCTGCTGCCAAACATCCGATACACACAGGGCAGCTGCCAAAAACAGAGAAATTGTAAGAACGACAGAGAAAATGTCAATAGTGCCATACTTGAAAAACCTGATCATGTTAAAAAAAAGAAAAAGAAAAAGATAAGAGACACCCCCCCAGGAAGTCAATATTAATTGATCACATACTATGTGCCTTGGCACTTTACGAACACTAGCTCATAGAATTCTTCCAATAACTTCATATTGTGGTGTCCCTAGCACTTGTCACTGAAGAAGAGGTGGAGGGGGTGCAGATGGTCCCTCTCCCACCTCCAGATTGTCAGCTAATCCCTTTTCTGCCTAGAGTTGGCAGGGTTCATTTCTACGGTTTCCTACCAAGAGTCCTGCTGGAAACACACGGGTTGACCAGACCTATTTTACAAACTGTAAAGGTCAATGAACCTGTTTAAGTTCGCACCGTGAGGGGACCTGGAATTCCAGGTCTGTCTTGATTTCAAATTCCAGCTCCTTCCCCTACCTCAGCTGCTTTCCTCTCCACCCCACTCTCACACACACCTCTCGCCCTTCCTCAAATGTTCCCTGAAACACTAGCGACCACCCAACTGACTGCCTTCCTGTTCCCTCCTGGCCATCTCACACTTTCCAACTGCCTGGCCTGTCCTAATTAGAAAGTCATTTTATCACTTCATCAGACTAGGATCCCTCTGGGGACAGACCCAAATTAGGCTCTGAGTCACAGCATTAACTGATATTATAAAGGAAGCCTCCTTCGGCTTACATTGCAGCCACAGACCTGTCTTGCACCTCAAAATACTGCTTTTCAAAGGAGCCTGGATGTGTTCTATGTCAGCGTTATCCCAAATGGTAGTCACTAGTCATATGTAACTATCATATGTAGTGCCTGAAATGTGGCTAGTGAGACTTAGCTGAACTTCAAATTGTATCAAATATTAGTGAAAATTTAAATAAATAATCACATGTGGTTAGTAGCTACTATGCCAGAAGGCCCAGGTTTATGGCTTCAGTGCTTCTTCCTCCTGCTTCCCAAATTTTGTCTTTTAGCCATTGTGACCATCCCTCAAGAAGCCACACCCCTCTGATTTGGGTTCTAGTTTCCATGTGGAGCCTTGGCACGTATACACACACACACACACACACACACACACACACAAGCAAATATATATATATTTCTTCACCCATCACCCTGTAGCAGCTCAACCTCTTATTTAAGCCTTGACTCTCCTTGATGTGGGTTCTCCTGCAGGACCAGTCTCCCTGTGCCTGCACCCCCCACCCCCAATCCTATGCTGGATGGTTTATAGCTGGCACAGTCGACTTCCAAGGGCTACTGTGACACCTCCCTCATCCTGGTCATGACAAATTTTCCTTGGGGACTCTCCTCCCAACTTCGAAGGACACACCACCAGAACTCCCCCACCCCACCCAAGTCACTGTCTGAGCCACAGCCCTGACACCTGCTACCTCCAGAGAGGAGCTTGCTCTGATTGCCCATGGATGAGCTGCCCATGGTCTGCCCTGAGCTGGCACTCCATCCTCAGAGTCACAGCTGGTTGTGGCTGGACCCTTCCTGTCTGCTCTGAGCTCTCCCAGGAAGGCAGTGCCCTGGAATCTCCACAAAGACCCCAGAACCCACCTTAGAACCCAGTAAAAGATGACGCTGGTGGCAACTGGCCAGACCTGGGAAAGAGGTGTTTGGAAGCCCTAGTAGAGAGGTGGGGGTGGGGACCGGTGGCTGAAGCCCTAATGACAGGGTAACCCTCTCCCTGCAGAGCCCAGCTGGGTGCCGCCCCCTCCTCCAGCAGCCTCGCCAATTTTCCTGTCTCATTTGACACCTGCTGACAATACAGGCAGCTGTTTCATCCGTCCCAGGAGCCCCTAGGATGCTACAGCACCGGGCATCCCAGGAGTCCAGGGTTCCCGCTTCCGCGGATTTCAGTGGAGCCACCGCCCCGCACCCCCGCCCCGCCTTCCTGACCTGCTACCTAATCGCGGGTCGCTGGGGGACAGCAATCCGGAAAGTCGGGGGCGGGGCTGTCCTGGGAGAAGCGGCGGGGACTCTAGCCGAGCAGCACCGAGGGAAATGAGGGGACCCGAGAGGGCCTCCAGCTGAGTCCTGCTGCTGGCCGCCTGGGGACAAGCGTGCCAACTTCCCAAGGGACAGCAGGCCGCCTGAGCCCTCTCCGGCCAGCCCAACCCTGGTGGGGCGGGGCGGGGGGCTGCTCATCCGTCACCTCCCCAGGGATTTCTCAGCGCCTGTGCATCATCTCCGCGGCAAATTCGGCTCTAGAAAGAACTTTCTCTTTTTCCTCTCTGAATTTTCCCAGCAAGGAGCAGGACCCTTACTCACCCCAGGCAGCTCATGGTGGCCTCTTTCGGTGGCCTCCTATGCTCTGCTGCAGAGCCGAGACGCTGCGCCGGGGCTCGTGGGGGCGGGGGGTGGCCAGCCCGGTCCCTGACATTGGCCAGGCCCACAGGGAGGGGCAGGCTGCGGGGTGAATGGCAGCCAGGGGATGGGGCGGGCTGAGCCCTGGAACCCCGAGGGCTGGGAGCAGTCACAGACTCGAAGGAGAGGGTGGGGGTGGGTGGGCGATAAGATGGGAGTTGAAGGGAATGCCCCACAGGATCCGGATGGGGAAAGCCCCAGAGGGAGCCTGATCCAATCTGGGCAGGCAGTGAGACCCTCAATCAAAGAGATGGGATCTGGAGATTTATGGGACATCTGGGTCACTCCAGATGAGGACCCATCAGGATTTTATTTTATTTTTTTCCTGACAAACAAATTTAGACAGTGAGTCCACAGCAGAACAGAACAGCAGAAAGTGAACAGCAGACTAGCTTTAGGGTCCTGGGACTGCCACTATTTTGCTGTGTGATTTCAGACAAGTCTCTGAATCTCCCTGAGCCTCAGTTTGGCTCTGTGAAATGGATTAATAATAGCACCAGGGGAATTCAGCAAAAGAGTGTCCATCAAGGACCTGGTGAGGTCCTTGGAACACACCATCATCATCATCATCATTAAAAGGTGTCAAAGGGCAGAGAGCAGGCATCATCTGCAAGATTGAGAGTGAGTGTCCAGATCCACACAGCACTGTCCAAGGCTTCCTGCCTTCCCACTGTGCCTCTGCTCAGCCTCAGTAAAGAACTGGGAGTATCTCAATATCCTGTTGGAGATTTCCACCATCTGGAGTTGGGATGGAGCAGGGCATCTGTGGCTTTCTATCAGGAGGTGAGCCCTCTCTGAGGCCTATAGCAGCCTAGCAGTTGGCAGTCCCTGTACTCACACAAGGTGATGTCCTGGCATCCAGCAGAGCCAATAGCTACCTTCTTTGGTTGCCTTTCAGGGTGACTAGCCTACCCTTGTTCTGGGCTGCAGATGCGTTGGTGGCCAGTGCAAGAGCCACTTGTGTTGGTGGGGTGCTCAGGAGGATGGTGGGAAAGAGGACAGTGTTGATTGAAAATTACCCTCCCCACCCACCCTGCACCTGACTGAGTCACCTGAGGTTCTCCAGGAGTGGCCCACGGGCCTCCCGGGGCAGTGCCAGGGTGAGAGCCCACACCAGGTCATCTACCCGTGGCTCAGCCGCAAATTGCTTCAGAGCCGCAAACACCTGCTCCTTGGCAGTCAGCTGGTCCCCCAAGATTTCATCCACCTGCAAGAAGGGATCCATGGTAGAACCAGGGAGAATCACTCACCTCTATCTTCTTCTCTCAGTTTGCTTCCACAAAATAGCTGACATGGAGAGAGTTTTGCCTATATCATCATTTTAAACTTCACAACTTTCTCTAGATATTCATTCTACATCTAAAAACAAAACAAAACAACCCTGAGACTGATAGAGGTAAAGTGACTTCAGAAAAGGAATTTGTGGGCAAAACAGGTCATAGAATCAACGTGGGTTGCAAGGTTATGGGATCAGGGTTCAAACCCAGGGACAACTATTCTAATGAATATTCTAAGGATCAAAGGAATTAATACAAGAGCTGAAAAATGTGCCAGGCACTCACTAATTGCTAGTTACTATTATTATAATACTATGTTCTCTTCCGCTGAGCTGTTTGCTGAGAGATCCCACAGAGAACATTCTGGCTTCATAAAAACGTAGTGGAGTGTACTGTTAACCCTGAATTTTGACTCCCTCAGTTCTCCCTTTGGACTTTTGTTTTCTTTCTCTTTGTGCTCAAATCAGCTAATACTAACCAAGGCACATCTATTCAGAGGAGCGCGTATCCATGGAAAATGGGCCTGCAAATGCACACAATGTTTCTGGAAGGTAGCTTGTTAAGTGTATTGAAGGCCCATTCTTTTATCCAATGACCTGATGTCTAGGAATCTATCCTAGTTATGTCCTGACAAATGCAGGATGATGTATGAGTGAGGAGGTCTACCTCCTCATTGTTATCATACTTAGATGTTGGGAGCCATATAAATATCTGACAATATGGCCTAAATAATTGCAGCACATCCATATGGGGGATATTTGTAGTTTTTCTTTTCTTTTCTTTTTTGGTGCCAGGTTTGAACCCAGGGGAGCTTAACCACTGTGTCACATCCCCAGACCTTTTTTATATTTTATTTAGCGACAGGGTCTCACTGAATTGCTTAGGACCTCGCTAAATTGCTGAGGCTGGCTTTGAACTCACAATCTTCCTGCCTGAGCCTCCTGAGCTCCTGGAATTACAGGCGTGTGCCACCACACCTAGTCATATTTGTAGTTTCTTGGTTATCCAGCCAAGAAGGGAGGAAACCCCAAACTAAGTGAGAGAGAAGATCCTGGTGGTTATGCTGCAGCTTTGGCCACTCAGAGGCCCCTTCGCTGGTTGGAGGCCAGGATTTTGGCTCTTGAAGGAGTGATGTAGAAATGCAAAGATTGTTCAGGGCATAACAGAGCTCCACAGTGCATCCTGAGCAGATTCTCCTGAAGGGTGCTTTAGGACAGCTGTGTTCCTGGTTGGAAATCCTTTCTTGATTCTAAGCTTGCTCAAAGCTGATCCTGTGAACTGCCACTCCCACAAACTTCTTTTCTGCCTGTTGATGGAGTCAACTCCCATTATTCTGTAGTCAGTACCCTCCATACTATCAACATTGTGTATCACTGATTCTAGGGTGAGAATTTTTTCATACTTGAACATCTCTGAAATCAGGATGTGTCTTATTGCTAGTCATTATTCCTGTGCATTTGTGAGAAAGTCGTAGGTGTTCATATTTTTACTTCCACTAAGTTATACGCATTGCCGGTACTAAATGTCTAAATAAATCTAACAGAGCTCTTTAGATAACTACTATATTAAGTGATAAGAAGGTCATAAGGAAGCATGTGTCATATTAAGTAGTGAGAGTTTTGTTTCTTAGTATTAAATGAAATAATAACTGTGCATTGAATTTTAGATTTTTTTTTTGGTGCTGAGAGTGAGCCCAGGATCTCATGCATTCTAGGGGAGCACTCTGCCACTGAGCTAAATCCCCAACCCCTTAGATTTGATGCAGTGTGGTACTCTCTGGCTAGTGATAATGGTGAACTGATGCTCTCAATCTTTTGTTGAAAACTATGACATGTGGAGTGGTGGCTAAGGGGTGCCAGGTTTTCTATTTTCTAAATTTGATTCTTATGGTGATTGCATGACTGTGTGAACATACTAAAAACCATTAAATTGTGCACATACCATACAATTTATCCATTTAAAGTACATGCTCCATGAGAGCCCTCTCTTGTTAGTGGAGAGTTTGGTATGTCTCTGGGGTACTGACATCTTGAGCTGATCTTGAAACAGGAAGGAAGGATGGATGGCTGAGCAAGCCATGCATCTCTCTCTCAGAGGCTCATGATGCAATCTCAGCCTGAATGGGGGTTGTCAGTACCACCTCCCTACATGCACCTCCCAACTTCCCAACAGACCCATCATCCTTCCCTTTAACCCTCCACTATGAGATTAAGAACTTCCTTCTTAATAAAAGCCAACCTACCAGGCCACTGACACCTCACTGCCCCCATATTCCCACCCTTTCTTCCTGTGACCTGCTTGTCATTCATCTTCCAACTCAAAAGTCCCCCTCTCCGTGAGCCTTTCCTGACTGCCCCATCAAAGTGACCTCTATCACCCTCTCCCCTCACTCTATTTATGTCCTCACTTCATTATTAGTATCTGGAATCACTTGTGTATTGATTTGTCCAATTGCTTATTGTCTCTTCCCTGCAGGAATGTTAGTTTAAGCTCCTTGTCTGAGTGATGGCTGCTTCCCCTGTCCTGCACAATTGAGAGTCAATGATAGCTAAATGCATGGCTTTGGCATCTCTACTGCCTCCTTCCCCACAGCTTATATAAATGTTCAAGTATGTCCAAAACTATGAATGAACGAATTAATTAATTAATTAATTAATTAATTAATTAATTCACCCCTGGTCTCACAACTCAATCATTCTCCTTTTTCTAGCCCAGAGCTATCTATATGTTCTATTTCCATACCACCACCTGTAACCACCATAGTCTGCCCCTGACTCTATGATTCTGCTCTGGTTAAGGACCCCTCGTGGTAAATGATATCTTGATCTTCCACTTAGGGCTTGCTCTTGAACTTATATATCTGACTGCTTCCTAAATGGTTCCACCAAGGGATTAAGACAGGCTTTCCAAAGCCTGACACCAGAGATGATGAGTAGGTATTAACAGTGGTCTTTCAGGGATCCAAGTAGAAGCTTCTGTGTTTGTCCAAATCCTAGAAAATTCACACCACAAGTCTGTGCATGTCACTGTCTGTCTCCCCACTCCACGCTCCCCATAGCCAACCAGCCATATAAAGGTAACTCTCTTTCTGACTTTTGTGCAGCTTGTAAGCACAGGGCCTGGCACAGAGAAGGCACTAGTGCATGTTCATGGAACTGAACCAAAAAGCAACAATGCTTTGCATTTCCTGCAGGTCCTCAGCTGACCTGTGGATAGGGCACCTACAGCACCAGGCACCCACCTCCCATGCACTGGTCCCGCTGGGGAGGTTGCTGGTTTGAAATCAAAGTTAGCAGCAGCTTCAATTCAAAGGAAAACATGGCTAGCTGCAAAGATATTTTATGTAAGAAAGAGGAAAAAATAACTCCCCCCCTCCTGGGGCCTGTGCCACAGTGCAGTTTTGGTGTCAGTTATTACCCAGATGTTCCCAACCTACATCTAAGCATGAGACACCATCACGGGACACTAATGGATTTTCTATTAAATATCAGCTACTTCAAGGAGGAAAAACTGGGGCAGGCAGAGTGCTGAAGAGCACCCAGGGGGCTGGTTATTGAGAACTGGCGGAGGCTCTGCAGAGGCCCTTCATCTTCGGAAGGAAGTCTTTTTTTGGGGGGGGGGATACACTTCGCTTCTGAGGATTTGGGGGGAGCCCT